AAATTATCAGGAAAGATGGATTATGACATGGAGTGCTGATTTCCTAGGTTATCTGTTTTAACAGCCTCACATGGCACAAAAGCTTTTAAGAGAGGAACTCTAGAAGCAGGAAACTGTTGAGGCTCCTTCACACTGTGCCCAGTGATAGCTAATACCTTTGTATGTCCTTTCCCTTTTTGTCCTGTCACGCCAGAAATATTTTTTTTTTTAAGTATTGGGACTTACGGAGGTTTCTTTTTCATTATCTCTTCTGTGTTCAAAATTATGCATATAGATGAAGTGAAGATAGGCTCCCTGAAGTGTGTCCTACCCAGGAGTGGCACATGGTGTCCCAAGAAGTCTGAAACTGAAATGCTGGGCCCAGAATAGCTAGAGCTGATCACTGGAAGCATGCCTAAAACTGAACATTTTTTATTTTTCATTCTTGGATTTGTACATACAAAAAAAAAAAAAATCACTCCAAAAGAAAGATTTGCAAAAGAGGGAAAAGAGAAAACACATTCCCTACCCGTGTAGAACAATGAGCAATTCTCTTCATTGATGAGTTGTAAGTTATTTGAGTGTCTCCATACTTATTTCTTATAGAATGTTCCTTTCTCAGAGGACCTCACCATTGTTGTTGGCCTCTGTGCCCTCGTTTACTGTGCTCCCAGTAATGAGGAAAGTTGGAGATTCCGCTTTGAAGGTCTGTCTCTCTGCTTTGTAACTTGCTACCCAGTCCTCTGTTTCAGGATTCTTGGTTCCAATTACTCAGCTTCCCTAAATCTTCCCTTTGGATTGTAAGTTCCTTGAAGAGACAGCTGTGGGGAGACAACTGATGGTTTAGTCTACCCAGCATCTACTTCCTCTTCTGAAGATAAGACACCCAGACTCTGAGAATTTAAGTTTTAAGAGAATTTAATTCTCTTCTGAGAATTTAAGTTTTGAGCAGAGTCTCTAGAATGGAAAAAAGATACAACTGATTCTTATGAAGAGAAGGCAAGAAAGCCTGCTGTCTGCTTTTAAGCAGTTGGTTTCCCATCCTTTATAAGGCCTGGTAGTAGTTTCCCTTAGAAACTATGGGTTGCCTCATATTTTTCCAATAAATACATTAATTTTGTCCCAATTGACCAAAATGGGCTATTTGCTAACAAAATATCCTGAGACACAGTCCAACAATTAGTGTCTACTCATAGGTCATGTTAAGACTACAGTATAGTGAAGGTTGTTGTCAATGCTTCAGAAAGTTCTGGAATTCAAAGAAGTCATAGATAGGAATTAAATCAAATAATAGTCTCCCTTATACCACTTCATTTTCCCCAATTGTATTAGAAACTTGTAAGTTTAAAATGGAGAGTTAGGACAGAAATTAACTAGAAATTTATACCACATCTTTTAAAAAAAATGAACTTTAAAACATTTTAGAACACTTTTAAATTACAGTGTTATTGTGAAAATTATGCAGAAAATGTTACGGCCTCCACCCAGTTTTTCCTATGATTAACATCTTACTTATGTTACATTTGTCACAATTGATGAGTCAATATTGGTGTTGATGTATGTACTTTATTCAAATTTCTTCAGTTTTCCTCTAATGTCTTTTTCACTGTTCCAGGATCTTATCTGGGAATACATACTACACTTAGAAGTCTCATCTCTTAGATGCTTCTTGGTGTGATGGTTTATCAAACTTTCCTTGTTTATGATAGCCTTTACAGTTGATCAGATATTTTGTAGTATAGCTCTGTAAAAATCTGAGTTTAGCTAAACTCAGATTTTTCTAATGCTTAGACTAGATATGTTTTCTGGAAGGTGGACCATGTAAAGTGCCTTCTCATTGCATGATATCAAGAACCGTTACTTATCACTGATGATGTTAACCTTGAAAACCTGCCTGAGGTAGTATTTGCTAGATTTCTCCACTTTATAGCTGTTTATGCACCTTCACCATATTCTAGACTTGTCCTCTTGTTTTTCATTACCTTTCCATTCAAACAATGAGAAACCTGACTCCCACCACCCACCTGCTTCCATTTACTTAATTGTACTTAAGTAGGTTTCACTGCACATATATTGTCATTTCAGTCTTGTTAACCTATACCCTTGTGGGAAACAACTCTATCAGCTAGGGGACAGTGCTTACAGTGGACTTTGCTTTCCCTTTAGCACTTGGATTCCACTCAGTTACTTAGGTTTGCATCTTATCCCCCACCTGCTGCATGGGGTTATTTCACATCATTACTTCTTTTAATTATGTTTTATGCTTATCTAAGAGGTAAAATGCATAACTAAAGATATCAAATAATAAAAAAAAGATATTGAATATTACTGAGTGGCTTATAATAAAAAAGGAGAGCGGTCCTCTTCTTTCACTCCTGCTCTTTTGGACCTATTTCCCAGGAACAGCACTTTTGCCTCTTAAATGCTTCCATAGATCTAAATAATATGTTTATGGTTATCTCAAGAGATCAATTTTAGACATTATCCATTAATTTCCTATTATTGTAGATGAGGATTAAACTTTGTTTTTTTTTAAGATTTTTTATTTATGCATCTAAGAACTGGGGTGCAGGCCAGAGGTGAGGGGGGGTAAGAGGATTCACCAGAGACAGAGTGGGGAGCAGAATAGATGGAGTGACTGAAATACACTGCTGAGGGGACCAGCAGGCCAGGCAGGAGGTCTGCTGCACCATGTGGGTCAGCTCCCTGTCTGGGGAAGGAACTCTTGCTGCAGTGGCTGCGGATTGCTTCATAGTGCTGCGTCTTAACCCCTTGCGCCACCAAGGAGGCCTGGGGATTAAACTTTCTTTCACCTCCTTCCCCTGACCTTTTCCTTTTACAGTAGTTATTTCACAATGTTTAATTAAACCAACAGTGTTTATTTTATTTCCTTTCTTGTTAAGTTTTTAATCCCAGAATTAACCATTACTTTATCTTTTTGTAACAGTCATTTCCTACCCTACACCAATTTTCCCCATGTGAACAAACTTATTAGATAATTTTAGTTCTTGCCACTCTTCAGTTTCATCTGCCAGGACCCTCTGTTTTCTGGGCTCATTCACTGGGAATAGTGTGCAGAGTCAGGAATAGGTTCCTGATATCTGGTAACTGAAAAATGAGATTGTCGCTTTATATTCAGGCTTTCACTTAATCTCCCTGTTGTCAGACCGATGCCTCATCCCACCTTCACTAGGGCCTGGTCACTGAGTCTCGTGTCTTTCTGAGCTACCTGTGAGATTTATACTCCTGTTTGCTGACATTGAGAGACTGTGGGTTGCAGTGCTTCAATGAGCATGAAGGAGTAGGCACCTAGTTTTCATAAAAACTTTTGAGCAAATTTCTTGCTTTCCATACTGGATCTCCTGCTGCTTCAAAGGTTACCTCTGATTCCAGTATCTTCTTAGGTTCTCTGTAGTAACGCATCTTCTTTCTCTTAGATATAATGTCTGCAAGTGTATAGCTTCTTGTTTTGTTTGCCAGATTAGTAAGAATTCCTGTATCTGCTTTGCATCTTCACTCAATGAGGTTCATTGTTACAAATGTGTTTAAATTTCGTCAAGATGGAGTTTGCATTTCTTGTGCTATTGATTGCTTCAAAGGAGGTGATTTAAAATGAAAGGCAGCAAGGCATTGCCTAAACAAGAAGACTCATGCCCAGTTTACATTTTCGAAGACCCACACTTGACTTGGCTTGTATTATCTTTTTGGAGAAGACACTCCTGAATCCCAAAGCCAAGTTACTTGTCTTCCATGGCATCCTGACTGTACATCTGTCAGTGCATACTCTATTGTAATTCATCTGCTCCTATGAGCCGTCTAGGGTAGGGACCACGGGTAACTCAGGTTGAGTACTGTGAGCCTTCCGCAGGCCTGATTCTCCTAGGCAGTCTCAACAGTTGCTTATTGAACTAAGAATAAGTGGCTGCATTAATTCTGAACAGACACTAAAACCTCTGAAATACATTATAGTTGTTTAGGCAACATCTGTGAAGTTAAGTGATAATGGTGGTCTGAGCTAGAACCTCCCATTCCCAATTCCTTACCCATTTTTATGCCCCAAAATGATGGTCTCTTGAGTAGATATTCTTGGGTGACCTGGGGGAAAAATACAAATTTGAGGATTCTGTAATTTAGGAAATTTTCCAGCAAATTGGATTTTTCTAATTAGGTAAAGGCATCTTTTATACTTTAATATTTTATACAGATTTTCTGTAAATTTGATGTGACCTAATATTTAAAAATAATCACTTTAGTAATGGAATGAATTTAGAAGTCCAGTTAGGACTAACATAAGAAGGCCACTTGAGAAGCTAAAGTTGACTTTGCATCTTCGCTCCAACACTGACCAAATGAGAAAGTCATCAACTCCTCTGAACCTTTATTTCTTGATATTGAAATTGGGATATTAACAATATATACTTTACTAGGTTGTATGAGGATTGAGGAAGATAACATATGTAAAACACTCAGCATAATGCCTGGCTTGTAGTAATCTTTCAATAAATTTAACATATTTCTTATTATCTATCAGTATGGTTATAATGTTAAGCACGTGTTTAATGGTTGCTTGAAACAACTTTAAAAGTTCAGTGAAAAAAAATTGAGGGTGGAGACTAGGGGATTGGGCATAGAAAATTTAGCAATCTAGGGAAGCAATGGTACTTTCTTAACTGAGTCCTATTAAGTTGAAAGATTGTGTTCTAGCAGCCAAGGAAAAGAGCAGCTATACGAATCATTTCTTATGATCTAAAGTCCATTAGCTACTCCATTTAGCTGTTAATGTTGTGAGGCCATCGGTGTAAATAAATGTGTTATTTGGTAATGGACTTGTTTTCTTAACAATTATAATATATTGTTCTCTCCAAATGCTATAATTTAACTCTGGCATCCAGTTAATTAGTCAGCAGATCAGCCTTTAGCATTGCTTCACTATCTTATTCTCTCTCACATTTTTGCCTTAAAAACTTGTTTTAGGTGGCGTTATGGGCTGAATTCTGAATTCACCCACAATTCTTACCTTGAAGGCCAAAGAGGGTGTACTCACAAGGTGACAGTCTTCAGAGATAGGGCCTTACAAAGATGATTCAGTTAAAATGAGGTCCTTAATATGCTCTGTAATCCAACAAACTATTGTCCCTATAAGAAGAGGAAATGTAGACACATGTAGACACACTAGGGGTCATGTGGGCAGAGGAGGTGGCCATCTCCAGACCAAGGAGATTAGGCTCAGGAGAAAACCAAACCTGCTGCTACTTTGATCTTGAACTTGTGATCCCCAGAACTGTGAGAACATAAATCTTGTTGTTTAAGTTATCCACTCTGTGGTATGTTGTTATGGCAATCATTCTGCATTAGAAAGCACTAGAAAGCAAAATTCACTCTGGTATTTCTGATTTAAATTTTGCCTCTTGTAGTTTATAAAGCACTTATCACATCATTTGACTCCCACCCAGTCTTACAGGGTGTTGTTATTAACTCCACTTTATAGATGAAGCAGCTGGGGGTCCAGAGAGCTGTGCACATCCATGGCGTCCAGGGCATAGGTGGGATTTGAAGCCAGGCTATTTGATTTCATCTCCTTTTCCTTTCACTTTACTGATTTATCTCTATTTCTCTTTTCCTGTTACCACGAGGGCAGAGTATGCACCTGTTTTATCCTAGTGTAGTTTGTGCACTCGATTTGTTATAACAAACTGACAGGGTACCACTGGTCTGTGAATTTCTGCCTAGCGCTGGGATGAAGAAAGCAGCAAACTTGCCAAATCTGAAAAGAAAGTATTTTTTATATTACTCAGCTTCCAAAAATCTAATACCTTTCAATTTTCTGTCATTTTTCACTAAAAGTGAAGAATATAGAACTATAGTTACTGCTTTTTTTCTGCTTCAAGTTGCTCCATGGGGCTAGATCAACCTTTAGTTTTTCTTCTATCCATAGCTATATATGGAGCACTCCGTGTGAGCTCCAGGTTTGGGCCTCAGTTTTTGAGATGAAAATTGGTGTGTTCAGCATAAAGAAGGTGCATCTGAACAGAAAACTGTTGGCTCTGACGTCAGGGAGGGTTCCCTTTCCATGAGATTACACAGTAGTGTATTTGCTGTCTTGAAAATATACATTTCCTCACCCCTAAATTCAACTCAGTATTCTCATTCATCCTCTGAAAGATTTCTACTGAAACTTGAAAAAGCTTTCCTCAAAATATTATAGTAAGCAGTGTGATGTTAGTAGTTTTTTATAATCTTAGTTTATTGTCATAGTCAATCATAATTAAAGTTGAAACAACTTTGATTTGGGGGTTCTTCCCTATTATTTTTAGACTACAATTTAAATAAGCTTGTGTAATTACATTTTTTTCCCAAAATTTTATTTCAAGAAAGGTAGAATACTCCTATTTTTCCTCCTAAGAGCAGCAATAATTTTAAAAAATCTTTTAACATTAAATAAAAAAAATTGAATTCAGAGACCTTTGCTTTTCTTGTGTAACAACAAAGTGCGTGTAACTTTAATTTTTTGGGTCTTCTAATTAGAAAGATATTTCTTAAGTATGGTCAGCATTGGAATTGTTCCAGAGCCCATATTTATAAAATAGTAACTATGACAACCCAATTCCTTCTAACCAGGCTCAACCCCTAATACTTTCCCAACTGTCTGTTTTACAAGATGATATAAGCAGAGGGTTTGGGGAGAAAAAACTATGGATAATAAAATGCTTTCTGCAAATGAACTCCTTTAAAGCTGTTTGTTCAGCATCATGTGATTCAGACAGTAAGAGTTCATCACACAGTTAGGATTAACCCCCTAATTTGTTTCTTTTTTTCCTGGTGGAAGGGGATAGATTGCTGTGAATTCCATATTGGCAGTCTGAGCTGCCAAACAGAATTGGAAACTCTGACTGGTAGCCGAAACATGAGGCAGGGATGAAAATTCATTATTTTTCTGTTGTTCATGATCCCATGTAACAGGGTTTTATTTTGTTTAAAAACAAGTGAAAAATACATCACAACTTTCAAATCAATGTTTCTCTGAACCTGAAAGATTGAAATACTCCATCCTTTTCAGATTTAATAGAATGATGCTACTTAGCTGTAACAACTTCAACCAAACTGATTGTAGTTACCTCCATCCCCAATGTAGGAACACCTCTTAAGTGAATACTTAACCCAGATCCTACTATGCTTGAACATTCAGTTTCATTAGCTGAGTGCATACACGGTTGCTTTTGATTAGACCGCTGTGATGTGCATAGGACTCAGATTGTCCAAGTCAGGATCAGAGCAGATCCTCTGAAGCTTGATTGGGTAATGTATCCCATTAGATTGCCCTTCAAAATTGAGGAAGTGGCAGGACTATGTAATTGACAGCGCTACTTAGCATTGACCCCTCCCTTCAGTTCATTTCCATAATCTGGGTGAGAAGGAATTCCCTGTAGGGAGAGGGGAGTCAGAAGCTCTGCCTTGTTGGCAGTAAGTAGGCTGCATTCTTACAACCTGTTTGTCCATATCTCCATGAGCCCCCGCCACTGTGTCTTGAAGCCATTTTAGCTAAAAGTTAACTACAGGGATAAGGATTTCTCAGTTAAGATCACACCAGTCCTCTTGCTAGCATAGAGCACACTTTTAACAAGGTTGACTTTCTGATTTCTCTCTTCCCTTTCTTATGTACTACTTCTCACTTGCTTTTTTATCTTTTTTTTTTCTTATATCATCTCTCTGAAAAACAAAATTCAAACCAAGAGGCTGAAAGTATGAATTAACTTAGAATTGTTAGGATAATGATGCTGCATAAAATATAACCTGGAATCAGTTAAACACATGATTGGGGAATTCAAAGAGAGTGTTTTTAATGTGCTTGACCCTCACAAAATACCTCCTTATCACCCTTGCACTGACATAAAATCACTTGACTAAATCCTAGAATGTGGCCAGTGGGAGCAATTCAGTTTTCTTCAACTCTTATTTCTCTTTTTCTTTCAAATGTTGTTTCCCATGACTCCAAAAATAAAGTTATTATTTTATCCATTGTCCCCAATAACACACTCTTGTTTGTCCATCCATCCTCCCATCTAACCCCATCCATCCATCCATTGTTTATTGAGCAACTAGTATGTGCAACAGGGCATAATCTCAAAGCATCATTTCCTTGGCCAAATTTGGAAGATAATGAAAATTTAGGTACTCTGATTTAGCATTGATTTGTCAAAATCAGACCCTATAATAAAGTACCAGGTGCAAGTTGTTTATTTGATATATGATTCCAAGAAAACAACTGAAGAGGGAAAAGAAAAGGGGGGAAAAAGTGAAAATTACCATGCCTACATCATGGGTAATTGCTATGGGCAGTTGGGCTCAGTCCTGGTGGAGAATTTTTGAGAAAACTTGTAGAACACATTTCAGAATTGTTCCAATGAAGCTGAGATGTTGACTCTTGTCCCCATTGGTTGAAAGTTACCCTAGGGGCATTAAATGCCTGGTAGTCTCATGATTCCCTCCTGACAGGCTCTTTGTGCTAGAGAAAACCATCAGGCAGAGGATAGGGACATGTACAGGTTCTATTCACTAAGGCTGCAAGTGAACCCACAGATGGGCCCAGATGCAGGGGGATAGGGTGCCGTCAACCTCTGTGGCTACCCCAGTTGCCTTAAATGGAAATTTCTCAAAGTTTTCCATTTTCCAGAAAGGTTTACCAGAGTGGACATTTACTGTGCAAAACACAGTAAATGTGTTTCATGTGCAAAACACAGACCTATGTTTAGAATTGGACACTTACTCATTTCCTGAATATATACAGCTTCCATTTTCTGTAACTTCTTGTCAGCAGATTTCTGCAGACAAGAAAAATATTGTAACCAAAAGCACCCTGCAAATTTCCCTCTACCAATATTAATCACACCCATTTGATTTATTATCTATCCATTTGAAAAGAATATTTTGCAATTTTGATGCAATTATTACTTTTTTTTTAAGAAAGAATGATTACATCCATGTAGCATAACTCTCCTAATGGCTAATGCAGTTTGCTTTATCACCCATTCACTCCTAATTATGGTTTGTTAGTAAACAGACACCATACATGCAAAATGGGGAGAGAAATATTTGCAATACCCCGTCATTCAGAGGAGAGGGAGTGGATATAAAAATCAGACTAGGTATAAGGACTGATTATTGGGTGCCTGGTTTGCTGGGTCTAATTTATACCATTAAATTTATTTTAAAAACTCTTCTGTGATAATTAATACTTTCAGATGTCACAGTTTGAATGTCATTTACTTTGGGTACATTCAAAAGATTTTCACTGGCCTTTATAATTGAATTGACCTTAAAAAAAAATTAGCCACCCACCCTTTTGTGTAATCCCTTTTACTCTACACATCACTAGGTTGAGAACAGAAGTAACTGTGAGTGACTAATATGTGGGAAATATTTATTGAATGTATAAAGGAAAGTCACTTGGAATTTACATTTGAGAATAAAGTACCCTTGAAATATAACAAGAATTAGTAAATTAAACATTTTGGTGGTTCATTTCCTGATGCTCTATAATATGTGTTTATCAAACCCATAGCAGGTTATGCCAGGAATACCTCTCTCTTTTTCTCCATTTATTCAAATCTTGCCCAACTCTTACAGTTGAGGCATAATTGATCCTTCTTTATTGAGGCTTTCCAATTTCTTTCAATTCAGTGATTCTTGTACTTGTGGAGTTGGATAGCTGTTAAAAATATTTTTGCCTAGGTTATATACAACAGATCACTTAAACTAGAGCCTCTGGGGGTAAGATTCATGCTTCTGTATTTTAAAAAACTCGGGTATATACAAAGTGCAGCCATAGTTGAGAATACCACTCTATCCTGGAATTGCTCTCTTCTCCGAAGACCCAGAAAACCCTGATTAGGCCTCTTAAAAGCAGTTATAATTGGTCTTATATTCTGGCTCAGTGTACTTTGAAGCACTTTGAAGTCCAACCAGCCTTTTCAATTCCCAGATACCTCTGACAACATTCTGGCTATCCAGCTTGAACGCTTAGGGCACATGGCAGATAGTCCATCTTTGGGCAGCTCTGCACATTTCAGGTCCAAGTCTACCTCTTTGTAGCTTTTACCTTTCTTTCGACTTCTTTCGACTTTAGGGCAAAAGATGTTCCCTAAAAGGTTTTTAAATGTTTGAATAGTCCATTCATTCAAAAAGTATTTGAGGAATGCGTACAGTGTATTAGGCACTGGACTACCTCATTGGAAACAGAAGTACAGATTCCTAGGAAGATTTAGAAGTCAATCCTCATTACTATAAATAAATTCTGTTGGTTTCTTTTTTAATCTGCTACATTTCTTCATAAAAGATTATCTGGAGTGGAATCTCGAAGCTCAAATGAACTTAAACTACATGAGAAATGTAGCAGAGTTATGACTATTAAATTTTGGGAGCAGTTTTCTGAATAAGATGTGGAATACTTGCTTGAAGCTTTAAATATGACACACTTTCATGTGACTGCATTTATATATTGCCTTGAGGGCAGAGGGCAGTGTCCTAGGTTACTTCACAGACTTCCCTCTGAGTCATTCTATGTCTGTAAATGAGATAGCCCAGGGGAAGCCAAGTGAGTGATTAAGATGCTTGTTTGACTTCCTGATAATTTGGGGGAGAGGAAAAGATAAACACAGTTGCTTTCTCTCCTCCCAGTGGTTCCCCACCAGCTGGGATCTCCCAGGAGAATCCTGGTCTGGCAGCATTTTCTCATGCCAGTTCCCTAAAATTGAATGTTTTGCTGGGAAATAAAGCACATTAAAAGTGAATCTAGGTCAGACTGGCCTTATTTACTTTACGAGTTTTATTCAACGAGAGGAAAGGCAGGGATGCTGAGCAGCTGGACTCTTGGGGTTCCATTCACATTGTTGTGATCCCCAGGGGTTACCACTCACAGACTTTATGGACTTTACCAAACAACTGCTTGTGGAGTAAGATAATGAGGTGGCCCTGTCCTAGAGTGCAAGGAAATAAGCACCTTATGAAAAAGCTGGTGCTAAAGAAGTGCTGCAAACTCTGTATGTCCATTTAAAGGGACAGACAGTCCAGGGACTCTTTCAAGGGACTTAGATCATAGTTCCGTTTAGCCCAACCTAGAAACATATCAGAGAGGCATTTTGTACTCCAGAAACTAAGCTAAGTTTTCTCACCATCCTCTCTTTCCTGCTTAGATGCCAGGTGTTCCTTCCTTTAAGTGAACCCAGACCTGGGATAATATGAATGCCTTCTAATCTCTGTTTATCAGTGCAGCAAAATGTACACTCTTGTGATTAATTCTAATTCATCCCTCCACCCCATCATGCTTTATTACATGGTATACATTATGCCAGAGGTGGTTGTACTCTCCTCCCAATTGTATCAGCCTCAAGACAGACACAGGAGCTGAAAATATGTGGGGCCAGATCAGCAAGCCATGTACAACTCAAGTTCATCATCATGTTTGTAAGGTAAGGTAAAAATATCAGGCTTTTCTGCCCTGCGGTCCTGAATGCATGCCTGATGGCGGGCACCTGGAGTAGGGTGTGGGCATAGGCAGATGGGATTCACCTGGGCTAAGACTGGGCTTTTAAGGACAGCATCGTGGGGACACCAGCAGAAGCCGAGAAAGAAGCAGAGGAGCAGAGAAGCTGAGAGAGAAGCAGAGCTATAAGAAGAGCAGAGAGAATGTGAGAGAAGGCCGGAGAGCCCAGAGTGAAGACTTGCTGGGGGCTGGGAGGCCTGCCAGCCTCCCGGGCCCCCCAGAGCCCCTACCTGCCGTGTACCTGTAAATCCCAATGAAAGTCTGCAAAAGCCACTGAGGGCTCCAGGACTCCTCCTTTACCCCGTCTGCTGGATCAGAAAACCTGCTCTGTGTCCATTCCTGCCCCCTACAATGTTTTACAACCAGCCAATTATTCAATTCATTTTATGGGTTGACTGTGCCCATCTCTTGCACTCAGGAAGCATTCTAATATCATAAGACAGGGAGTGAGGGAAAAGTGCTCTTTTGTTTTTAAACCCTAAGGCATTTATGCACTAATAACCTTCTTCCTTTGTGCTTTTCAAAAGAATGTAAACCAAAGCAATTAAATTAAATGGAGTTAACATTGGCCTGGTAGCATAAATCAAATGTCAGGAAATTCAGTATTAAAGGGTTAACATTCCTTTCTTGTGATCTGTCTAGTGTCTGCCTACTTTGAATTAAGAGTAAGTCAAAATTTAAAGCATGAGTGTAAGAGGGGACTGCAGGAGAGCGGAAGAGAGGTGCTGATCTGATCTTCTCTGCAGGTGTTTGTCCTTTTGCTGGCTCTGGGACTCTTAGGTGCTCCAGCCCAGGGTATTCTGAGTTCGCAAACATGGTTAAGCAGTTTACTTCTGTGCTCAACAGTTCCAGAACACACAGTAAACAGCCTTATGTTTAGACTGTGCCCACTGGGCGTGCTCTGTGGAGCTCCCTGCTTCTCCAATCACTGACTCTTCCAGTGAATGGCAAAGGGCTCTTCGCTTTGTACGTGGACTGAAAGCTGCAAGATGAGCTTTCAAAGTTCAGACTCTGATGAAGGGAAATTATACCCTGATTCCAAGGGCAAATGAAAAGAAACAATTTGCTTGGATTTGGGTCTGATTTTAATTTGAGGAACCCAGGGCCTGAAGGCTTTCTGCTGAGTCTGAAAGCAAACAAAACCCAAACTCTTCAACCCAGGTTGCTTTTAAGGAATTGTAAATTATCCAATACCTGCATTTTATTATAACTTACTCCCAAAGAGAAGATATTCTCCCCTTCTACCTTCTATTATATGACTTCCTAATGACCTGTTAAGCATTTATATTAGGAACTTGTATAGGTTTTAGAATAATGGAAGGAAGATCATTCTGGAGTGAGAGTTTAAAAATCTCAAATGTTTTCTTTCATTTTCTCCCCTTCTTCACTCCTTCCTCTCCCTCTCTCTCCCTCCCTCTCCCCCTCCCTCTCTCCTTGCTTCATTCTCTTGTCTTTTTTTTTTTTAATTGAGGAGTAACAGGGGACCACAGCTCTCTAGAGAGAACCTTCCAAAGGCAAAATGTGTAAAATTCATTTTGTTTGCAGGAGAAAATCTTTATTGAAGTGGTGAGCAGATGTGACCCTAGGTGTGGGTTAGGAGGAATGTTGCAAGATAAGATGTTTTGCTGGGATAGAGTGTGTGTTTTTAGCAAGGTTATACTGTAAAGAAGTTATGCTTATGACTCTCTTGCCCTACTTTTATGAGATTAAGCAAATATGCTCATTTTTCTAGCTTTCTTATGCTTTTCCAAATGCAAGTTTCTCAGTTCCAGTCTTAGAGAGCTGGAATGTAGTCCTATCTCTTATTACTCCTTTTTGGTTTAATTTCAGATACCAGTTAGTTATTCCTGCTGTTTTCTTTCAGTACAGTGCAACGTGTAGCTTCTCATCAATTCTGACTCTGAAACATGCTGAATTTCCCCTATATTTGTTCTTACAGCATAGGGTTTAGATTGAAAAGTGCTTTCACTAGGTTCTCTTATTTTTAGGAGTGTGTGTGTGCAAGCACACAAATGAGTTATACTCAGATATAATTACTTGTTCTTGCTTCCAACTGAAAGCATCCACTGAAATACTAAGAGTGGGGAATTCAGTAGACCTATGCCTCAAAGCATCTCAGTAAGCAAAACTTTATAATAATTGCTATGCTGTAAAAACAGCCTTTTCTGTGCACTCAGAGCTCAAGAGGAGCTGTGTTTAGGCTGGGAGGTATATGAAGTAACACCCCCGGCTGGAGCAGTCAGAAACCAAGAGGGGAGAAGCTTATTCTTTTTCAACTTT